GGCGGCGGCGGCGGCGGCGGCGGCAACTGCAACCCCAGCCTGGCGGCCGCGAACACCAGCAACAGCGGCGGCGGCAGTATTAGCGGTGGTGGCGGCGGCGCCTCCAGCACCCCCATCAACGCCAGCACCGGCAGCAGCAGCAGCAACAGCAGCAGTAGTAGCAGCAGCAGCAGCAGTAGCAGCAGCAGCAGCAGCAGCAGCAGCAGCTGCGGCCCCCTCCCCGGGAAACCCGTGTACTCGACCCCGTCCCCAGTGGAAAACACCCCCCAGAATAATGAGTGCAAAATGGTGGATCTGAGGGGGGCTAAAGTGGCTTCCTTCACGGTGGAGGGCTGCGAGCTGATCTGCCTGCCCCAGGCTTTCGACCTGTTCCTGAAGCACTTGGTAGGGGGCTTGCACACGGTCTACACCAAGCTGAAGCGGCTGGAGATCACGCCGGTGGTGTGCAATGTGGAACAGGTTCGCATCCTGAGGGGACTGGGCGCCATCCAGCCCGGAGTGAACCGCTGCAAACTCATCTCCAGGAAGGACTTCGAGACCCTCTACAATGACTGCACCAACGCAAGGTAAAGAGCTGGGGACCCCTTCCTGCCCGTCTCCTCGCCCTTACTTCGCTCCCTTCCCGGCTCCGCTCGCTCCGCGTGCCCGCGAGCCGCGCGCCCCGGAGAGCTCGGCCCTCTCCTCCCCTTTCTTGGGGCTCGTCAACCGCGCCCAACCCCCTGAGAAGTTGGCACCTCACCCTGCCCAGAGCTTGCTCTTCCGGCCGGTCCGCTTCTTGCTGGCCTAGGCACCAGGGCTTGGCTGCTGTGGGGATGAACCTCAAGGCTCGGGGCAGCGGGGACAGGACGGGGGAGGACCGCGCTTTTCTGGGAGCCAAGGCCCCTTTGCCGGGACTCGCTGGCGTCTGGGGACCATCTTGCCTCTGCTGCCCGAGCGTACGCTCCTCGGGACCCGGCTTCCGCGGCGAGGCTCCCGGCACCCGCCAAGCTGGATGGAGGCGTCCGGGTGGCGGGAGGAGGTCATGACCTAGCCCGGCGGGGTTCGAGGAGCCAGGCCACGTTCTCAAGGAGGGACCCTTGAGGAAGCTTATAGGGACAGCGACAAGGGAGGGCAGTAGGAGGTCGAAAGGAGAACGGCGCCCGAGGCCTAGGAGATCAGAGCAGTCTCGGGGGATCCGCAGCTAGTTCATCACGGAGCCCCGAGGGGAAACCCGCCGAGGGGAGGGGTCTGTGTGTGCGCGCATGTGTGCGTGTGTCCGCGTGTGAGCGTGTGCGTGTGCAAAGGAAATAAAGGAGTACGTTGCCCCAGGGCAGATGAAAGGACACCAGCAGGGTTCTTTCTGTAGAGAGAGATGGCACAGTGCCCCAGACTCTTGGAAGCCTCCATGGGGAAGGAAGACCACAGCTCGCTCGCTTTCTCACTTTTACCAAAGTTTTATTTATTTCTAAGGTTAGTCGCTCTCCCAAAGAGCAGGTGCAAGCTTTGCACTGGTTTGCTCTGCGGGACTGAGTACTCGGCGCAGTAGCTTCTTCTGCCTGGCCAAACGCGCGCACCCGGGAAGCCCCGGGACTGGATCTCGGGCGGGACTAGTTTTATGCCAATGAACGCTCAGTGGGGGAGGATCTACCGAGAGGGGGCAGGAGTGGGGCAACTTGTCAGTTTCGGGGTAGATATGCTTATTTCACACACACACACACACACACACACACACACACACACACACCCGGTCAAAATTCCACTTTTGGATGCAGAGAAGCGCAGAGGGAAAAGTTTAGAGCTGACGGGAGAAAGTCAGTAGGGAAAGTTGGAACCCTGAAGCGGGCAAGAGGGAACTGCCGGCAAAATTTGTGCCCAGTCTTCCGTCCTCTTCAAACAAGTTTAAAGACCTGAAGAAGCAACTGAGGTTTACATTTTTTTCTGAGTGGGTGTTCCCGGAAGAGTTAGGGAATGTGAGACAGGAAGGAAAGAGAGGTAGGACGAGACCAGAAGGAAAGAAGAGTGCAAGAGCCCCGAACTATTTATTTCTTCCTTGGAAGAAGACTCCTTCCTGACTAGTGCCCCCAGAAGGCTAGAAAGCGAAAAAGATGCCAACTCCAGCCCAGCAAATATCCCATCCTGACCTAGCCAGAAACTTTTCCTCTATTACCCCATTCATCGCAAATGGGGCATGGGTGTATGTCTGGGTTTTGAACCTTCATTTCTATTATCTTCGTGCGAATGGTGTGTGTGTGTGTGTATGCGTGCACTGAAGTGTATGGACAGGTGGCAGTAAAGATTGAGGGGAATCCAAATGTTATTTACTCATATAATTGGAATATTTAGACTTCCAGAAGATAAAATGTTTGCCAAAGATGTCATATTAAAACTAGATGAATTAGGGCAGAAAATTGTTATGAGTTGTTATATAATGGATGGTACTTGAAATTTGAAAGCCAGTTCAGATATGTGTGTTATAAAATTGTCTATTTGTGCAGTAAATTGGTGAAGAGCTACTGTTTTTTCTGTTTAGTAATCAAACTCCACTCTGCTCCTGAATGCTCTTTGTGTGTTTCTTACAGCACACATGGTACTAGATAATCAATGACCGTTTGATATATGCAAAAAAATTGCTCGAGAAAACTTTCAATGACTGCAACGTTATAATCAAAGTAAAACAGGTAGCGTCACACCTCTTACAGTTTTTCATTTTTTTTTTCCTGAAATTTTGTACCAAGACTTTGAACTCTCTCCCCCATATGGTTGTGGAATATATTTAAAGTTATTAACAAATTTTGAAAATATAAGTTTTTTATCTGAGATCAACAATAGCTTTCAAGTTTAAATTTACAGAACCAAAAAAAGTTAAATCCAGTATAACTGTTTACTGTTCAAAAATATCACTACACTAATTATGTTTCAATCACCTGGTCTTAATACATTGTAATTAAATGTGTTATTTCAAAAGCATATTTCAGGTTGTTTTTACATTAAAATATGGTAAATTTATTAAAATATTGTTGCACTTTGATCTTTTATGACTACCCCACTTATTGAAACTTAAATATATGCCGATATTGTAGTTATTAACCTTTGAAGAGGTATAGTTGCAGTTGTCTACCTACATTTTCCTAAATCTGCCAGTAATCTAAGAAATAGAAAACTTATAATGGATAGTACATTGTTCCCATCTTAATGCACTATTATATTTTAATGTCAATTACAAGGACTATTATCTCATTTCCTAACTTGGAAAGCAATAAACTAAAATGTTTTGCATCTTGAACTTACAAACTAAAGTTACTTTTGTCATTTAAGTCCAGTTTATGCCTTTGCTATTAAGATATTTTTTCCATTCATCTAGATATATTGATTAATTTCACTCTGGTTCTTTCTCCTCTGGCTACTTAAAAGACTATCTAAGGGAATAATTTATGCAATGGATAAGAGAAACTTTGTGAAAAGGGAAACCACATAAAATAATATGTAGTGTACAAGAAATATTAAATCTTAGCACACACAATTTTTTTCTAAATAATATCTAGTTATGTCTCATGCTTGCAAACATTTTTCTAGATAGCCAGGAATCTAAGGAACCAAAATTATGCTAAAGAAAAGATTCATAAACTTGCTTAAAGTGGCTCGGTCAGTTAGTAGCAAACCTTAGAGTAGAATTAATTTGCTTGGGGCTCTTACATCAGTATGCTAACTATGAAAACTAAGATAAATGCTGAAACCATCTGTTATTTCATCACAAAGAGAGATGAAAAAGAGACTATCACCTGCTAGATGGTAAAGCTAAAAGTAAGGATCTCAAAATATGAAAGAATATATAAGGAAATACATTTATAAGTTGTCAAAGGACAGAATCTAACCTTCATCAGTTTCCTCCAATTATTATTTTTTAAACTAAACATTAGTTGCATGAACTTGGCTATTGCAACAGAGGTCAATTAATTAAATGGTAACCATTAAACAACATTCTTATTTTCAAAATAAGGAAAGTAATTATGTATACGATGCAGTGTCTGTCTGTATGAATCAAGTGCTCGTCTGTAGATGTGAGTTAGGATTCAGTTTTCCATGAACTCAGGTAATAAAGAATGACTCTGTCCTATTGTTTTACCTAAAATTCTTATTTCATGATTTCTGCTTCAGATTCTTTCAATCCAGATTGTGATTTGGGTATAATGTAGTTCTAGGTTTGTGGCGTTATTAACTTAAAGAGATTTCTGTTAGTTTTATCACAAATTTTATATGTACATACATATATTCACAGAAAATACTCTCATTTTAAAAGATATCAGCCATGGACAGCTAATTGAAAGATTTCCCAAGCCTACTATGTTCCTGTTGATAGATATGAATGAAATTTTAGGACAAGAAGTACGAAATATTTTCCAACTCTTGGTTCTATTTATTTGTCAGGAGTTCTTTAGTCGCTTTAATAAGATGGTGTGCTGTACCAGTCTGTATTTATTTAACATTTCCTCCATTCCATGCTTTTTAGTGGCATCGATATAGAAAGTTTCAAAACGAATACAGATTTACTTCTAACACTTAATTACAGTACTCCGCACAGAGAAATTCAATAATTACTTCAAATGTAAAAGGGCTATGCTTCTGAAGTTTTTCTGTTATAGTAGATTAATGGTTCTTATCAAACCTAATCTTCAGAACTTCAAGAAAGGATACCTTATCATTAGAAGACTAAAGCTTAAAATATACAAGTTTAGGTTTACTTCCACTACTTATTTCCATGTATTTCTGTTAGAAAATTATAGTTTAATAGCTAATATATGAATAAAGTATAAAAATATCCTGTAAGAATTTACCTTTACAAGGTAAATCTACCTTTTTCAATTAAATCATATTACAGAATACAAATTCTTGAATTATTTGGCTGTCTTTCAAACTTCTTGTTTTTCTTGGAGTTTGTCTCCAGTAATATCTTAGCCATTATTTTAAATAAGGGTAAATAGTTAGAAGATGGTTTACTTTCTGCCCTCTGCAGATAATTAGTTAATGCTCTGAAGCATGAAACTTGATTCGTACATATTACATTTTACCTTGTGCAGCTTCATATCTGCTGTAGAAGAAGCTACAAGACAGGGAATTTTTTCAGAACTGCCTTGCACACAACTCTATTAGAATTTTCGAATCTTTTTTATTAGTCCAAATCAGTTGGTTTTGTTTGTTTGTTTGTTTAATATATTGAACTTCACATGAATTGCATGTAAGTTGCTAAAACACATGTTAGTCAGCTTCTTTTTTCATCACTACCCCTAGCCCCTTGAGATGTGGCACCCAATATAGATTAAAGTCTTGGTTGGATTGGAACGTAAATCATTCTTCTCTTTGGCGATTTACTATGTGTGATTCACCAGCACAGGGAAACCTAGTATGTTTTATTGTTTCTCATTGGATGTTTTATTTTTGGATATAAGTAGCATTTGTAAATTAATTTAATGTGCAAAAAAGTAGTTGTTATTTTAAGAACAATTTGTGCTTTGCCTCTCATCTAGTAGTATTTTATCTTTCCAAGTTCCTTTACTAAATTGTTTCATATAATTGCCTTTGTCAATCAAGT